TTTATGCATTGGATAAATGGCTAAATCGTAACAATTTCTTGGTCCCAAATAATCCTAAATCCTCGATAAAGTGTTTCCTGACTCATACCCCTGTTTCTGCACTTACCGGCTGCATTGAAACACGAATGTGCAGCGTTCAGTTTGAAACAGAGTCTCAACCCATTACCGTATCTGCTCTTACCAGCTGCAGTTTACGAATACAGTGTACTCACTTGAAACAAGAATGGAAAACGAGGTCTTGTTTACTGTGATGCGTTGTTAGTCGTATAAAATCCTTACTGTGCAAGTTTGCCTGTAACTCATACTTTGTGTACGTCCTATCGACTTACGCTACCCGCTGCCTCCATTCGACCCGCTCCAGCCTCCTGAATGTCTCTCGTGCCCTCCACTCCACCGCCAGGTAGCCGCGCTTTCAGCCACTACACCCCGAAACTCTGGACCACTCTTCCGCTATCTCTCCATCTTGCCCCTTCCTTCCCCATCTTTAGGCCATGCTTGATGACCTTCCTGTTCGACCGTGCCTACCATCATCTCCTCTCCCCCCCCGACTCGGCATCAGACTCCACTACTGTCACCACTGAGGGGCGCAAGTTGTTGGTGATTGTGATGGCTCTGACTGATGGGACTTAAACCGTTACTCGCGAGATAAAAGCAACTCGGTGATGCTTAGATCCTCTCCTCTCACTGGCAACCTGAGGGCATTTCACAGTTGTGTGTGAGGGATCCCAGTGTGCTGGGTCAGGACAGAAATCCAAGGTTTGGCAGAGTTAACGTTTGGGCAGTTATTTTACCCCAGTCCTGCTTTGGGACAGTGCGGTGTGGAATTTCTGATAAAGCTGTTTGTGCCCGAAACTGCTAACGGCAGCAGAAGCAGCCTTGTGACCTTGAATCTGCAGCCGTGCCAATTCCTGAGCTGGGCAGGGCACTGATCCCACAGCCATCTCGCAACCGGCTGACATTGCATGCTTACATCTAGACATTGTCAATAAGCAGGGTAAACAGGAAGCAACATTCCCCAAGCCTGCCAGCCCATTCTAACCATTCCAATGAGGTCCTTGCTTATACACCAAAATGTCTCAAAGTACTTTTTAAACATGAAAGATGCTTTCCCTCTGCGAGTTGCTGTCCCTCTCTCTCTCTCTGCACGTTGCTGTTGCTTTGCAGAAGATTTAGGATGATTTGGGACCATCAAACCATTGCAATTTAGCTGTTATCTGATTTATAAAGTATGACTAGTGCAAAGAAATCAAAGTGTTTTTTTGTAGGAAACTTAGTGGGACCTGGGTGCACATTGGACTCTCCCCCTTCTCTCGCTCTCTCTCGCTATATGGGTTTAGATTGCCCAGCAAAATGTTTTATGCCATGATTCTACTCTATACACAAAATTGAGCAGAGACTGGAAAAGCTGGGCTGATTTTCATTAGAATACAGAAGGTTTGAGGGGGAATTGGATCAACATCTTTAACCACTAGGTTGAACTAGATCCGTTTAAGACGGACACTTTAAGAAAATTGCAAAGGGGAGATTAGGGGGAATGTGTTTTTTTTACATGCAGAGTTGTTTTTTGTTTTTAATTTTGCCCAGCCAGATGTCTATCACACGCGGAAACCCATCACCGTTGCTTAAGAGGATCCAAGCCTTACTGAAAATTCCATGCATCCCATCTACACATGGAAATCCCAGAGATAGATTGTTGGAATGGAGTTGGAATGGAATGCAGAGAGTTATTAGGATGTGGAATGTTCTATCAGAAGCAGTGGTTAAGGCAGGATCTATATTAGCTTTCAAGAAGAATGAGCTAGATGTGTAAAGAGGAATCACTTGCAGGGGTATGTGGGGGCGGAGTGGGGAAGCAGATCAATAGATTGAATGAATTACTCTTTCAAAAGAGTAGCATAGTCACGATGGGCCGAATGGCCTCCTTCTGTGCTGTGAGATTCAACGGTTGTACACCAAATGGTTGATTATGGCTGTTGGCAGGGGTGGCCTTGTGTGCAGATTGGGAAGAAACATAGTCACTACACTTGGACAAGAATTGCCTGTGAAGCATTTTGAGACATTTTGGTGTCTAAGGAATTGAATCAAACTCAGGATCATTATTCTTCAAATGCTATCTTTGTGGGGTCTAAAATGCGTCGATTTCTAACTGGAAACTTTGATGAAGAAACCGGATGCCCATCGAAGAATGCCGCTCCCAACACAATCAGCTTTTGGGACTACACTTCTCATGGATCTGAGGATTTTCCAGATACTGAGAGCCCCTTCCCGCTGGGGTTCCTTATTGAGGAATGCCCTCGTATGTTAGGCCCCATTATCCCCGGCCACACACAGAGATGTGATTGTCGTGCTGTGGTGTGTGGACACAGACTCTGTCACTCGCTCGGTCACTGAGCTGCCCTGCTATATGAGGACATGGAAAATGGCTTGATGTGCTTTTTCCTTTTGCAGTTTCCTGCGTATTGCAGCGTGGGGAAGTCCGTTCACCCACCCCACCCCACCCCACTCCCACACATTCCTGTGGCTGTTAAAGAATTGACCAGCTGGCCCCTGAGTGGAAATGCACTGAATGTGGAGGAAATCATTGCGTTTCGTCATTGCACTGAAATTGACTACAGGAGGACAAAGTGAGAATTTTTCCCTCTGAACACACAGCGAGATTAGGATTCCTCACCAGAGCACACAGAATGATTGGTTTCTCTAGGTACAGAGTAAGTCCCTTCCCACTTCCTTATTTCCGGATTTCCTGCTACTTATCTATGGCAGCCCATCAGTGGTTTTCTCACCTCAGGACTAGATTTTAATAATAAATAATAATCCTTGCATTTGCTCTATAGTGCCTTATCACGTCTTTGAGACGCCATAAAACACTTCACAGTGAATTGACTGTATACACCCTCTGGAACTCCATCCCACATTCCCTTCACCTCCCTCCCTCCCTTGCCGCCTTCAAGTCACGCCTCAAGACCCACATCTTTGACCGTGCTTTTGCCCACCCTCTCTGCCCTATCCCCCACCCCCGTTCGGGTCCTAATCTCTGACTGTTCAGCACCTTGGCACGTCCTCCTGATGTGAAAGGCGCTTCACAAATATAATTTTGTATTGTATTGCCTTGTATTGTATTTTGTGAGCAAAACGACGTGATAAGGCGCTGTATCAAATGCAAAATTATTATTATTATCCTACGTGATATAAGTACTTATTGTTCTGGAGATAGGTTTACCATTCAGCCATGAACTGTATGGTTCCCCACACCTTTCAATGTTAACATCTGATCAGTAAACTCCCATGTTATTGCTCCAACCTTTAGCCTCTGTCTGTGTGCAATGCCACCGGTGGCTTGTGAAATAAGTAAACTATCCAAGGTTCAGTTTTGACTCATTTTAATAACTGAACGTTATTGAGTGCAGGTGTCCTTAAGGAGAGGACAAGGCCTGCGATTGAAGGGGAGTCAATTCAGAGCAAATCTGCAGAAACACTAGTTCACTGAGCGAGTAGTAAGCTTGTGGAACTGGCTCCCTAGGGAGACAGACAGTGGAAGCAGAAAATGTTGTTTGTTTCGAGAACAAATGAAATAGATTTCTGTTAGAAAATACTATCTGGGGACACAGTGTATAGTTTGGGGACACGACATGTCAAGCGACTGCCAGGATGGTGAAAGGCGAAATAGATGGACGTTGGTCTTTTTTCACCAGCAAGTTCTTATGTTCTGAGGCCCTTGCTGCACAGGCCCAACCTCGTGTCGTCCTGGGTCATTATCACAGATCAATTCTGAGGGTTGCTGTAAGCCTGCAGCTCGCTGTATGTTCTTACTGGAATGCAGCTAATGAACGGAGGCCCTTTCTGACCTTTCAGTGTAATGTCTTTGCTCTCGGCTCAGGAACATTTTGTTCTTGTGGTTTCACTTTGCTCAATCTTGGGCGTCACTGGCAGGGGCAGCCTCGGTCTCCCTGTTTGTCCCTCCCTGGTCCCTCTAGGAAGTAGATAATTATTCAGGGCAAGTTTGCAGGGCTATGGGGAGAGAGTGGGGGAGTGGGGTTGATCAGGGCTATGAGGAGAGAGTGGGGGAGTGGGGTTGATCAGGGCTATGGGGAGAGAGTGGGGGAGTGGGGTTGATCAGGGCTATGAGGAGAGAGTGGGGGAGTGGGGTTGATCAGGGCTATGGGGAGAGCGCGGGGGAGTGGAGTTGATCAGGGCTATGGGGAGAGCGCGGGGGAGTGGGGTTGATCAGGGCTATGGGGAGAGAGCGGGGGAGTGGGGTTGATTTGGAAGCTCTTTTCAAAGAGCTGAGACAGACACAATGGGCCGAATGGCCTCCTTCTGTGCTGTATAATTCTATGCAAGTCTCTTTAACCATTGCAGTCCTTGTGGTGATGGTGCTCCCACGATGGTGCTGAGTCGGGTAGTTCCAGGGGTGTGACCCAGCGACGATTAAGGAATGTCTGGGTCAGGATGGCGAGGGGCTCTGAGTTGGGGGTGTAGCCAAGGTGGCTGTGCTCTTGGTCTTCAGGATGGTAATTACCAGAGCTGGGTTTGGGTTTTCCTCTGGCTCATTGTCCTTGACGATCCACTTCCTTGATACTCTTGAGGTTGCATTGATTGGGAGGAGACAACATGGGGTAAAGAATGTGTCTCCACTGCACCAATTGGCATCGCTTGTATTTCCAGGGCCAATGCACCAGTGGGCAGCTACTATCAGATCCTCCCCACATATCCCTGGCAAGTCACACATTGTCCTTGGTGTTCGTCCTTGAGCAGTTAGATCTACAAGGATTGGATTCACAAGGAATCAGCATCCATTAGAGAGAGAGGTGTGTCTGACTCGGAAACCTGGGACTCAGAGCTGGGCCAGAGGAAAGTGTGCCGTTCACTCACTGTCCCACCCTTTTTCCCCGGTTCTTTGGCTGGAAAATTGGATTTATTCTTCAACACAAAGGGATTTCCTTTGTGTGGTTCCCGCTTTGGACAAGGCTTTCCTGACTGTTCCACTTTGTGTTTTCCAGGCCCCAAGACAAGCCGGTGCTGCCCAGTAGACAGGTCCCCTCAGAGATCAACTACAGTGAACTGCTGCACCATTTCGACAAGGTGCAGAACAAGCACCTGGAGGTGAGGCACCAGCGAGCAGGCCGGGACGAGCACGTGGAGAGGAGGCTGCCTCTTTGATTGATCATTGAGGACCTGACGTACAAGGGTGGCTGGCCGAAGGACATCGTGCGCTGAACTGTGGAGCTACCCAGATTGTGGTGTCAATGTAGTCAGCCAGCTCCAGTGCCTTTGAGGTGCACAATCATTCACCACCACATCGGTGGCCGTTTGACCAGGAGCTGGCCAACTTGCCGTGATCCGTGTTTATCTGATCTGTAAGGACCTCAGTGGAATTGTGGTCACTCCTCCTCCCTGTTCTCTCTCCTCCATGTCTGCAAAGGGCAGCTAGTGTACAAGATACACAGTGATGTGCACAATGGCCGTCCTCTACCTGTTCACGATTGCTGGTCCCACATCCTTCAATCCTTCAGGGTTTGAGTGACATTGTGGTCAACCTTTCCCCTTGTGTCTATAGCTGCTCATTCACCAGTCACTGTAATCCTCGTATCACAAAGTGTTAACATTCCACCCCTCTCTCTTCCTCCTCCCACCCCCCCACCACCCACAGTGCAATCAGGTCCCACTGACACACTCGTCCTGGTCTAGAACAATCGCAGTAATTCAAGATCTCTTTGGTTAGAAGCGATTCCCTGACCTATTGCTCTAACCAGATTGAAGTTTACTTTAGATTGAATTCCCAGAGCGTCAGCCATGCTCTTTGCTGGGATTCTCTCGTGCTTCACTCACACTTTTATAACACAGCTAATGTCCACGGAGCTATCAGAGACTTGTTTACTCGCTTGTGGCAAGGAATTGGCAACCTCCTGCTGGGGGGTGTGGGTGGTGTGAGGTGGAAGCTCTCTCGCTCCCGCTGGTGAGGCTGGGAGTCAGGCACATTTCGGCTTTACTAAGCTGCTGCTCTTGACTCAAATACGCAGTGTTTTCACTTCCAACCGCCGCTGCCCTTCACCTTGCTGAGCACAGTGTTGTTTGTGCACAAAATTGTCATGTGCTAGTAACACAGCCCCGAGCATGTGCTAGTAACACAGCCCCTAGCATGTGCTAGTAACACAGCCCCTAGCATGTGCTAGTAACACAGCCCCTGGCATGTGCTAATAACACAGCCTCTAGCGTGTCCCAGCAACACAGCCACGAGCATGTGCTACTAACACAGCCTCTAGCATGTCCTAGCAACACAGCCCCTAGCATGTGCTGGTAACACAGCCTCTAGTATGTGCTGGTAACACAGCCTCTAGCGTGTGCTAGTAACACAGCCTCTAGCATGTGCTAGTAACACAGCCTCTAGTATGGGCTAGTAACACAGCCCCTAGCATGTGCTAGTAACACAGCCCCTAGCGTGTGCTAGTAACACAGTCTCTCGCATGTGCTAGTAACACAGCCTCTAGGATAGGCTAGTAACACAGCCTCTAGCATGTGCTAGTAACACAGCCTCTAGCATGTGCTAGTAACACAGCAGAACAGTGATAGCCATTGCTTCCCACTCATCAGAACCCTGAACGATGGGACTGTTGCCTCAAAGCTTTCTTCCTAATGTGCTTACAGTGAAGTGAACCAGAGGCGCTGTGGGACTGGTACAGCACCAGGCCTGCTCCTTGCTTTCTATCTTCTTATCTTTCCCGAGTCTTGAGATCGCCAAGACAGCCGGGAGCCAGCAAATAGCAAGGACTAAAAAGGCAAAACACTGGCAGATGCTGGAAATCTGAAATAAAAACAGAAGTGGCTGGAAACACTCAGCAGGTCAGGCAGCATCTATGGAGAGAGGAAAGTGGGTTAATGTTTCAATTCGATGACCTTGTGTTACTGCAATAAAAACAGAAGTCACTGGGAACACTCAGCAGGTCCAGCAGCATCTATGGAGAGAAGGGTTTTGAATGTAAGGACCCTTTGGTCATTGACCTGAAATTTTCCTCTCTCCATATGATGCTGACTGACCCGCTGATTGTTCCCAGCCACTTCTGTTTTTATTTCAAATAGCGAGGACTAGTTGTGCTGAACTAATGCACTGAGCTGCACATGCACTTGGGGGTGAATTTTTAACATTCTTCTGATGATAAAGTGAGACTTCCTGACCAGTGGCTGCACTGTTAGTGGCTGACGGTTCAGTTTTGCGACTGGGTTTTGAGAAGAGGTTTGACCATGCCTTTCTTGGCTCCTTTCCCTGGAGTCAACTTCGGGTCAACTCTAATCGGACCAGCTCTGGCGAGAAGACAAACTGTGGCTTGCAGCAATCTGTCACTGGCATGAGTCATGTCTCTTCTAAAGCCAGTCAGTCACAAAGAATAGCCTTCTTTCTACCTTGTTTTGCAATCGTTTAATTCAAAACGAGGGCCAGAAAAGCGTTGGGAGGGAAAGGGCCAGAACTGGCCAAGTTTCTAAGCTTGGGCATCTGAAGAGGTCACTCTGATGGCTACTTCCCTCAAAGATATGCATTAATTTATCTCCTTCTCTCACAGCTTTGACCTCAGATCATCTTCAGAACCAGGTCTACCCTTTGTCATCACTTCTCTGTCCTCACCCCTGCCAACAACCCCCACCCCCCCTCACCCCCAATCTCAATCTGATTAGCACTTGCTATTTAAACAGGTCAATAGAGGCAAAGTAAATGTGGGTAACTTTAACTTAAACCCTTGTTCTTTTCTCAGTTTAGAGGTACTTCCTCTCTGGTCTGTATTGTTTGCACTGAAATTCCAGCAAATTACACTTCCACAGTGACTTTGAATTCACAACACTCCAGTCTTTCCACAAGACCTTAAGCTGAGGTCCCGTCTGCCTGCTCAGGTGGACGTTAAAGATCCTGTGACACTATTGGAAAAGAGAAGGGAGTTTGTTCTGATGTACTGACCAACAATTCTCCAGATAAATCGGTCATTCACTCACTTCACGGGCTGCTTTTGTGACATTACAGTGCAAATTGGCTGCTGCGTTCATCTACGAAATACAGTCACTACACTTGCTAGCAATTTCCTGTGAGGTGCTTTGAGACGCTCTGACCTTGTAAGCGCTTTATCAGATGAAAGCATGACGATTCTTGATAGGCAGACACCTTAGCACAGAATTGACAAGATTTAGGAATTTTTATCCAGTTCGCAAAAGTGACATAACCGACTCTAAACCACGAGTTTACGAACTCCTCCCGGTCTGATCAGACTGCTTCCCCTTTGTCAGAATGAAGCTGATGGAAAGAGCTTTGGCTGTGTCCTCAAACCCTCCCTCATTTGCAAAGTGCTGTGTGTGACCGAGTTTTGTCACCTCCCTGAAGCTCTAAGCACGACACATCTTTCTTCTTACATGACCATTTGAAAAAGACATGACTGTCCATTGTGATCGATTGCTAAATCAGTAAAACTCACTAAACTAGGTCGTCCTTACAGATCCCCCCCCCCACCCCCTCCCCACTCCACACACACACACAAACACACACACAACACAGACTCCCTTGCCTGTCGAGACTGAATATTTTGCCCACAAAAAAACACAGTCACTCCACCTTTGCTTCTGTGAAGCGCTTTGAGAGGTCCCAACGATGTGATAAGGCAAGGATTATTATTATGATTATTGTTATAATTATTATTAATAACATTCCTGCTTCAGTCTTGTGGCCAAAAGTGGATCTTGGATGCCATTTGCTCATTATGTCTCATCCCTTTTTGCTCCATCTTTAACGGTTCGAATTCACTTTAAAAAGCACAGTTGTATTTTCCACCGCAGTTTCCCTCCGAGTTTGTAAGAATCAGCAGAGATTTCTATTCCCCGGTGCAGAATGCTGATGGTCGGGGATCTCAGGCTGGCTTGTGTTGACCTCTGTGTTTCCCATTGCTGCCCCTCCTGTCTTCCTCTCATTGAGATTCTGTCATTTTGATCCCAACCTTTGATTCTTTCCTGCCACGTATTGTCTGGCTGTGAAGAGGTGTTATTGGGGAGATCTTCTCCCACGTAACTCGAGAGTGTGATTCCCCGGTGCACGAAACAAGAGCTGCTGGATTTACTTCCAGTATGCAGTGCTATTTTGGTGCTCAGCACGGTGGGGGGTGGGGGGGGTGGGGGTGGGAGAAGATTGTGAAAATCCTGTGGCAATCAAGAGCGTTTCATCACCTCTTACCTCCACCCCTATGGAAAAGAGAGCCATAGCCTAGTGCTTAATATTAATATTAATTTTATCCCCCTTCCTCCCCCACACCGCCCACCACCACACACATTTACATGCATATATTATACAAACACACAATCAACACACCTATTTACACACACACACACTGCATACACACAACCACTGCGGACATAAAAACACACTTTATATACACCCACTCCCCCTCCACATATGCACACAAACACACAACTAACACACCCTGTACACAGACACACTGAGCCTGCCTTGTAGTGAGGCGAGAGGTTATGATTGAAGCCATTATTGCCGTGTTTCGCAAGATGCTAAATATAATTCAATCGTTTACAATCCTTGGGCTTAGTGAGGATCTGATCATGTGAGACTCTTAAGGTTTGTGTATCTTGACAATAATGTGCGTTAGGGCCGGGGCGGGGCAGCAAAAAATGTCCTCGAACCACAAGTGAGACAAGACGTCCTCACAGTGACTGTCCACAGCGCAGTCCATCACGTTTACAAAAGACTTGTTGTTGGAGTCAGTGTTTGAACAGCCTTGTGTAAGACGTAGCTGTGAGGAGCTCCTGCAACCAGCTTTTCACAGGACGTTTGTTTGCAGAGACTCTTCTGCTAACAGAAGCTGTACGCTTGATAATGAATTCCAGATTATATGGTGTAATATAGTTCTTTTTATTGTTTTGTTCCTACAAACCACAATATTTTGTGTCCACTATTTAGGGTGTTTGAGAAGTGAAGGGAAGGAAGAGTCTTAGGGGCAGAGACTTAGATTCAGTTTGAGAGTATCTCAGCTCGAAAAGGGATTGAAGAGTAAATCCTGGAAGACCCAGACTGCAGTGAGATTCTGCACGTGTAATTCTTAGCAAAGCTCCCCTGACGATTGAGGACTCGAGTCCAGGGCTTAAGCATCGGCAATTGAGGAACGTGGATTAAATTGGATAATGAGACCTTGTTTGTGTCCAGTCTTCCTTTTAGCAACATGTGCAAATTAGTGCAGAGGAATAATGTGTTGGTTTGTATCTCACCATCTGTGCTGGGGGTCCTTGTGTATCTCAGGATCCCGGGCAGTGTAACAGTTCTCAAAGTGACAATCTCTCTCCTGGGTGGTTGATGGGAATGCATTCCAATTTGTGGTACAATAAAGATACATCGTCTGTTTGAATTCCTGTCCATTTTATTCTCAAAACGGCATGCATGCTCTTAGTAAATGCTACATAGGAACAAGAGGAGGCCATCCAGCCCCTCCAGCCTGTTATGCCATTCCATTAGATCATGGCTGATCTGTACTTCCACACCCGCAGCCCGCCCTTGCCCCATATCCCTTGATACCCTGATCTAACAAAAATATATCAGTTGGTATTTATTCCCATTTCTTTCTAAAACCAATACCTTATTACGTACATGGATTGGCCTTTAGAACTCAATCCCTTCATCTTACTCCCTCCCTTTGCCTCCGTCAAGTCATGACTCAAGACCCTCCTTTTCGACTGCGCCTTCAGCCGCCCTCCTGCCCCTCTGCCCTCCCTCATCCCAACCCTGGCCCCCACACTCAGGTCCTGATCCTCGACTGTTCAGCGCCTTGGGACATCCCCCCGACGTGAAAGGCGCTTTCCAAATGTAATTTTGTTGTTGTATGTGGGCAGGAGATTTGGGGGGTGGGGAAGAGACTAACTACATCTGCGATATTTCATCTGTATTTTGTACCAAGAGCAAGACAGCCTGAGGGTGACTGTCAGACCGGCTTCCTATTCCTGCTCAAAATGGATCGCAAAGATCACAGACCCGCCAAGCCTCTCTGTGTGGGTATTGGTCTCCCATTTAAATGATTTCACTCACCCAACCGCCAAATCTCTGAAACAAGCTCTCTGAACTCTTCACCTCTTCTCTTCACCCTCTACAGGCTCCCCCTTGGTGACGTCATCCGCAGACATGGGGTAAATGTCCACATGTATGCGGATGACATCCAACTCTACCTCTCTGCCTCCATCCTGAACTCCAGGGCTACTGGCGACCTGACCGACTGCCTGTCCGACATCAAGTCCTGAACGAGGGACAACTTTCTCTAACTCAACGTCAGCAAGACCAGGGCCCTCCTGATTGGCTCACACCAGCACCTCCGCATCTTGGGCACTGGCAGCATCAGCCTCCACGGCTGCACTCTCAACCTCACTAAGCCACTCAGGAACCTGGGGGTCTTGTTTGACACTGAACTGTCCTTTCTCCCCCACATCCGCGCCATGATCGGCACTGCCTACCACCACCACTGCAACATTGCCAGACTCCGCCACTGCCTCACCCCTCAGGCCCCCAAACCCTCACCCACACATTCATTACATCAAGGCTCGATTACGGGAACTCCCTCCTCATCGGCCTTCCCAACTCCTCCCTTCACAAGTTGCAGATCATCCAAAACTCTGCAGCTCATGTACTCTCACGCACCAGGCTCCGCGACCCCATCACTCCCACCCTCGCCCGACCCCATCACTCCCACCCTCGCCCGACTCCACTGGCCCCCCATCCCCCAGAGGATCGAGTTCAAGATCCTCGTCCTCACCTTTAAGGCCATCCATGGCCTCGCCCCCTCCTACCTCTGACCTGCTGACTCCATACCAAGCTGCCCACTCCCTCAGTTCAGCGGGCTCCTGCCTTTTCCATATCTCCCGCCCGACCTGCCCTACCATTTCCTGACATTTCCTCAGGCGCAGTAACAAACATGTTTTATAGTACGTTTTTGT